ATTCTACAGTAAATCAATTCTCATTTTCAACCACACATTCTTCAATAAAATAATATTTTCCATCACATCAATAATTTTTTCTTCTTTTTCAACCACACATTTCCCATCATATCACTATTCAAAATCAATTCTTCCCCCAAAAATTCCTTCCCAACAAGCTTTATAGAACCTCAATGTAGTTGTATAAATAGAGGACTTCGAGCTAGAAGAAAGACGGAATGAGTTAGAGAATTACTTGAGCTCTCAAACTGTGAGAAAGTCAAAAATTCCTGTCTTTTGATATAATTTTGTACCAATTCCATATTATTTCAATAATATTCCATTCTTATAGAAAGATGAGTTTCTAAATTCATATTCTCATAGATTCTTGATAGATTTGAGAAGGATTTCTTTCCTATTTTAACAACCAAAACAATTTTTCTTTAATCCAAGTTTAGGGATTTATCCTTAGAAGTGATACAATAAAGGCAAGAAGTTGAAATAGCAAAGATCCCATTAAGATAAGAGGCCGGTTGAGGGAATAATTTGCATATTCAGAGCCTGAAGGTCACTCGGTTCTAAAAATAAAGATCCAGATCAAAATTAAGATAGAACTACTATTTCTTGTTAAACTTTGAACGAATTCTTTTAAGATCTTAAAGAATCGTAGAGATTATTCATAATGTTTGAATTATTATTTACCATGATAATTATACTATTATTTCAAATTACTTATATTATTACGTCTTTTTATTATTATTCATTCATGTCATGATATACAATTGAAGGATTAGATAATTTGTTAGAAAGGATATTAAAGAAAATAGGAGAAATAAAACTTCAACTAGAAATATAGATAGGTTATCTAAAGGATATAAAATGCTCATAAAAGAATATGAACAAAAAATTGCAGAGTATGCTAATTTGTTAGATCAAAGAATGGATTTATATTTTAAAATTCAAAATAGAAGAAATTCAAAACAAATTCAAAACTTATTTTAAAAAGAAGAAGGATATACCTTGCAATATAGGAATCTATTTCATTAAAAGTAAAATAGACATTTCAATAAAAACCTTCAATAAACCAAGTCAACATGTCATTAATAAAAGTCTCCCTTCTTACAAGGGTCTAACGGTATTACAGAGGATTAATTCGCATGGTCCCTCACAAGGGGTCGGGCCCCACATGTATTAACGAAAAAAAAAATATTGTGCAGACCCCATCATGTGTGTTGTCTGTACAATATCTGAAAAAAAAAAAAAATTGTACATCAAGGCAGGTCCCTAACGGTTTAGTTAAATATCTCCTGCAAAAACAATGTGTTACCAAACCTTTGATTCATAAAATTCTCTCTGGAAACAAAAAGGGAAGTCTACATAAATCCTGCTTTTACTTATACACATTTCAAAATTAAGGTTTGATTTTTTAAATTTCAAAAATCAGGTTTTTATTTAAATTTATTTATGAATTACTTAGTTAATTATATATTTTATTAATAAATATATAACGGTCACAGATCTATACAATTTGGTCACAATTCAAAAATTTTAAGGTCACAGACTCACAATTCAAAAATTTGATATGTCACAATTCATTCATCGGTCACAAATTAAAAATTTTAAAGTCACAATTGTTTCATCGGTCACAAATCATAAAATTTTTAAGTCACACATCTTATATTATAGTCACAAAACATGAAAACAACGAATTATAGGTCACAAATAACTTTTATTGGTCACGAATTAATAAATTTGTGGGTCACAAAATAGTTATCGGTCACAATTTATTCTTTATTGGTCGCACACCAACCAATTTAATGGTCACAATCAACAAATCCTCTGTGACCACCACCGTCGTCCCAACACCATATAAACACACCACTGCCACCGCATAAACCGCCGCCACAAACACCCCAACAACCACCACCGCCACAAACACCGCCGCCAGCAACCACCACCGCCGACTGCCACCTGCACAACACTACCAAAACCACCAACAACCGCCACTGGCACCACAAAACCACCACACCATCTCCAACAACAACAAAAAAGGGCCACCACCACACAACCGCCGCCTGCACCACACCACAACCAAAAAACCCCACCACCACCACCACCGTCTCATACCGGACCACAGCACAAAAAACAACCAAATCACCACTGCAACTAACACCACCGCCGCCAGCCTACCACTCCAAAACAACCACCCCTCACCAAAAAAATTCCCAAATCTGCTGCTGGGCACCAACTCCGCCGCCACCATCACCGCTAAATCAACCACAACACCACCACACACAACCCACCACAACAACCACATCACCTCCCAAACACAAATACCACCAACTGCAAAACACCACCACACCACAAAAACACTGGGAAGTCATCACAAACACCACCAATGGCAACGCCGTTGTTGCAGCAACGCCGTCGTCACTTCGCAACACCGTCAGCGACGCCGCTCTAAGGGGCGATGTCGCCGCTCCGAGAGGCGATGTCACTTCGCAACACCGTCGTTTAGGGGAAATGAGGAGGTGGATGGAGGCAGGGTTGGGCGGCGCCCGGGCGGTTTCTACAGAGAGAGAGGGGGAGGAGAGAATGGGGGTGGAGAGAGAAAACGTTAGGGCTAAGTTTGTTATTTTAATTAATTGAGGTGAATTATATAATTAATATTAATTTAAAGATAAAAAACCTGATTTTTGAAAAGTTAAATCTATGACCTGATTTGTGAAAATGAATATCTAAAAACAGGGCTAGGTGTAATTTTCCCAAACAAAAACCCACGACTAATCTGTTATGAGCCGGGTGTGGGCCAGCACTTACAGGTCTTGTTTTCTTTCTTTTGGGTCAGTTCCTTATTTTAGTTGGGTCAGTTCATTGGTAGTTTAAGTCCAGTTGCTTGGTGGTTCCAACTTGTATTTTCATGGGCCACTTTCCAATTCCGTTAATTACGGTTTGCACCTGTTTTGCAGTCCATGTGTTTAGTGGGTCAGTTACGTAGTGGGTGCATAATGCAGTCTTGTATATATATCCTGCTGTTTATGCTAATGAGGCATCATTAATTCCAGTGCAGAATTTGTGTGTGTTACACATAGGAGGATCGGCCCCTCGAAGTGCCTACCAAATTTACATAATCAAATTCCAGAAATCGTAACATAATCGGTTCGTAATTTCTTTCTTCTCTCAAGGAATTCGAAATTACCTGAACAAATTGAGACATATCTGTAAGTATAATTATCACACCTTCAATTTCTTCATTTTCTGTTGATTTTCAGAACTGCAAAATGGGGGGAAGAATCATATTTTGAATTTCTTGTTATTATTTGTTGCTCTCTGTCTTCTTCTACTCATGGCTTGATACACCACACTTCAAATATGAATTTTCTGTTAATTTTTGTTGAAACCCTTTAAAGTACAGTTTCTTGAATTAAAGACAATCTTTTTTGATTTCTTGGCCACTATTGGAGTCCTTTTCTTCAATATACTGAGTTTTTAATGTTTGTCGGTACACTATGGGAAGGTTTTTGGTGAACTAATGTTCCAAAACCAACTTGAATGCTTTTTGCCTCTTTCACTGGGTAGTGGGTTGGCTACTTTTTGTTTCATGTGGTGGTGTAATGCTATATAGTTTCAAGTGAAAAAAACAAGCTCCACCTCTTGGGGGATTAATTGAAATTGATCTGAACGTTGCAGTGGGTGAGGTGGAGAAAAACGCATGTAACAATGGAGGAGAATATGACAAATTGGGAGGTAGTAGTTGTGTTTATTGCTCTCTGTCCACTTCTACTTCCTCATGCTCTTCAAATGCTGCATCTGCCTCTTCTTCGTCTCCTTGTTCAGTATCAATCTATATGGAGCTATGGCATGCCTGTGCTGGCCCTCTCACAACCTTGCCCAAGAAAGGGAATTTAGTGATGTATTTCCCTCAAGGCCATTTGGAGCAAGTTGCTTCAAGGGATATGTCCAGTTTTGATCTCCCTCCCCAGATCTTTTGTAGGGTTCTTGATGTACAACTACTTGTAAGCACTTGAGATTAAATAATTCTTTTTATTGAATGTGTTTTTGCTTTCAAATATTTTCCTTCTATGGTATTGTTTTTTGAATTTTATTCTTGATCAGTGTGTATAATTTCTTGAAAACAGGCTAATAGGGAAAATGATGAGGTTTATACTCAGCTGACTCTACTCCCTCTACCAGAGGTACGATTTGTAATTTTGAATGCTTGTGAATCTTAATTGCTGAATTTCTTTTTGATTTATATATGAAGTTTAAAATTTCCTTCTTGATTATTAAAAAAAAATTGTCATCTTGGCTGGCTTCATCTTCTTTTTCTTGATTTCAAACTGGCAAAACTTGTCTTTGAGAAGTATTTCATTAAATAATTTAGCATAGTTATTAGAAGTGAAGTTTCGATAATTAGTAACATCCCGGTGTTATGCAGCTGATTGGAGCAAAATTAGATGACAAAGAGATTGAAAGGATAGGGGTCCATGAAGATGAGGATGGAGTTACGCCAGCAAAATCGACCTCCCACGCGTTTTCTAAGACTCTTGCTTCTGACACCAGTATTCATGGTGGATTTTTAGTTCCTCGTAGGGCTGCTAAAGATTGTTTCCCACCTCTGGTTTGACATTATTCTGTCCTTTTTGCATTGATTGTACTTGATAGGTAAGTTTTATGTGTAGAGGTGAAGTTTCTTACTAATTCTGTGCTGAATTTTTCTATTAGGATTATAAAGAGCAAAGGCCGTCCCAGGAGCTTATAGCTGAAGACCTACATGGTGTTGAATGGAAATTCCGTCACATTTACAGAGGTACTAGATTTAATTCTACGATGTTTCTTACTATGGAAATTCTCACAGTTCGATTCTAAACGTGCAGGCCAGCCAAGGCGACATTTGCTCACTACTGGATGGAGTATTTTCGTTAGCCAAAAGAATCTTGTATGGGGGGATGCAATTCTCTTTCTGAGGTACACATCATATAAACTCTAAGATTGTAGATCCATATGTTTAAAGGTTATATATAGTCCATGAGTTAAGGCTTAATTTTTTCTCTAATCTCAGTCGCCTCTATAGCACGGATACTTCAATTAGAGTAGCATTTCGATACCGACACTTCTCGGACACTCTACCGTAATCATTTTTCTTTTTATATTAGAAATATTATATATTGTTAATTCAAAGTTATTAGCAAGTAATGATCACGAAAATATGTTTCAGATTTAAATCACCGCAAGTGCACGGTTCGTTGACAAGTAATAAAGTGAAAATCCTAGAGTTTCGAGTATCGTTCCGATGAGGTTTAATTTAACTTGATTTTTATTATCGCGACCTTAACTATATCTATTAAATTTCAGATGGTTGATGATTTAAATTTTATAACTCAACTAAAAACTAAAATGCAAGTTAAATTAAGGTTACTAACTAAATGCAACAATAACGTTTGAATGCAACAAGTTGAAGAAATTAATGAATGAAAAGCGCACTATGATCCCGAATCACCAAACAAGATCACTTTTAACCTCTATTTCACAATTCGATAACACGATGAATTGGTTGAAGAATTAATGTTTCTAACTTATCCAATAATATCTTTCAAGTAGAACTGAATCTATTCTAGCATACCATTTGACTATCTTTCTATGAAAAATGCAATACACACAAATGCATATGTTTTGTAAATACTTAGAGATTCACGTAAAGTATAGCTATATATTTCTATCCCCTATTGGACCTTACGATAATTTATACCTTGTAGAATCTATTTCCCTTCTTTCGAATGCATAAAATAGACCACCCGAGCTCATATAATCACATGCATTTAATTATGGAGATAAGAAAGTGTATATAAATCATTCAACAAAATCAACGTGTTTGAATATCAAATTGCAAAATAGAAAATTAAAATATCACAATGCGAGGTTCATCGTTTACCTAGTACATTGAAAATCTAGCCTAGCATGGATAAGATTAAAGAACAAGAAAAATATTTAGGAGAAGACATCACTCAATTCTTGAATTTAAATCTTGTAATCTTGAATCTTGGAGTGAAATCCCTCGTTTTTTCCTTCTTTGCTCTTCAATGCATTTTTCTCTCAAATCATGTGTAACCCTAGTTTCTGGACGAATTTCAGCTTTTATAGTTGCCCTAGAATCATTACCATACGAGTTGGAGTCGGATAAAGAAATCAGAAAATTCGTGCCAAAACCTTCCTTGTGGCCGCATGGTTATTTTCCATGCACCCGCAACAAACAAAAATTTTCTCACTTTTTCTCCTGCCACCATGCTTGCGGCCGCATGGTTAATTATACCTTACGGCTGCATGGTATAGTTAACTATCAAAATTCTTCATTTTGGTCCTCCAACTTCATTTTTTCCTTGTTTTGACCTCTTTTGTTCATTCTTTTCCTCCAATCATGCTTTCCTCAATTTATGATTAAGCTTGTGTCCGCTCTTGAGTTGGCATCAAGTTATCTTTTGATTATTTGTATTTTGGTCTCTGAACTTTCATTTTCCTCATTTTTAGCCTATTTTCTCTATTTTTCATCAAGTTTCCACCATAATCTTCATTGTTATCCTACAAACACAATTTACATAAATTAAGCTCTATTTTAAATGTTTATCGACATTTATTCGTGTTTGTGAATCAAAATAAACGTATAAAAACGCCGTTATCAAGTAACAAATAGGTAATCACGTTTAAAAGATTTCAACAAGAAAAATTAATAACAAGTATAAAACTAAATTTATACTGTATAAATGAAGAATTTTTAAGAATTTAATCAACGTGTCAATAACGTGTCGTGTCTGTACTTTTTTTTTTTTTTTTTTAAATCGTTTGTCGACACTATCGTGTTGGACATACGTGTCCGTATTGGTGCATCATAGCCATTCGCTGAACTATTTGCGAAAAGTTAGATTTAGAAAGGAAAAACTTCAGGGACTGTAAGTCTAATGTTTCCTTTAAATGACAAAAACTTATTAATTGGCAATATGGTTGATGTAGGGGAGAAGGTGAACTAAGGCTGGGAATTAGAAGAGCTGCTCGGCCTAGAAATGGGCTACCTGATTCAATTATTAAAAATCGGAGTACTTATCCAAGTGTTCTCTCTTCAGCAGCCACTGCTTCGTCAAGCAAGAGTGCATTCCAGGTGTTCTATAGCCCAAGGTAATGCAGTCTTGCTCTCTTAGTTATTGGAGGATCTAACTTAGTTTATAAAATCCTTAATCCTTAACTTGCAATGCTACAAATTATGGTCATGTGATTCATGTTTGTTCTCTCAACTCATGTTAACATAAAACTAATTATTCTAGCTCTCAGATAAGTTTGTCAGTGTCACGCTACTCAACCATATAATATGACTTTTGAAGCGTTCGTGACAATAACGAGTTTATAATGATATATAAAATAATTCAGCTAATAAATCTACAAGGTTTCTAAAACTCCACAGTGGTCATGTTAAGGCATTTTAACGATGCCATATAATTTTAATTCTTGGCAGTGCATGTATCATCAGAAATGATTACAGAAACTCTCATAATTTATATTCAGTTCAAGACTTCTAATAGCCAATCAGTATATTCTAATTATAGTCGTTTAGCGTAATGTAATTCTTTTTTGGTTGTTTTGATATAATATCAATATTAGTTTGTGCTTTGGATAACACTTGGGTTTATCCTTTTTTTCCCTCTCTCCAACTCATTTGAGTTAATTTCTGGAAGGTTAATACCTATTTTTCCACTGGTTTCTACAGTGACATAAATTTTGTTTTCTTTAGTATGAGTTGATGAAGTACTGCTTATTCATCTTTCAAGGGACATGTGTAACTTGTGATTTCTATCTTCTTGTATAATGTCCTCATCTGCACCGAGATTAGATCACCGATCCATTGCAATTTCTAATTCACACAAGTCATCAATCAATTAGTCTCTGCTTATTTCCAAGAAGGTTTTTATTCAACATTTGCTTGGACTTCAATTTTACTGGTGGAGATCTGAAAAAATGCACTAGCTGTTTTTTATGATGTCATCTGTTACATTGATGTTTCGAAAATAATGTATCTAGGGCTCAATATTTTTCTTTTTCAAACTGGAAGCATTGATGTATTGCATTGCTACTATGCCCATGGAGAAGGTAATGAAAATTTTGAAGAAAAATTGATGAAGACGAATCATCAAAAGCTTTGAATGTAGAATTCAACAAGTGTTAATGTCAGATACAAATCTATAGCTTCTTAGTGGGTTTTGATATTTGGGATTCTCTTACTTGAGTTTCAGAAAATGTTTTATTCTTCTGGAGGCACGGCCTCTTTTTCTTTGTCATTGCTCTTCCTTTTGGTGGTTTCTGGTAGGGTTTAATATATGGTTACATCTAACATTCCTTATTGGTATTTTTTCAGCCTATAAATGTTGTACTGTCCACTTTCTTCTTTCTAGATCAAATTTTGTGGCTTGGCATGACAAGCATATTTAACGTATGGGTGAGAATTCTCTGTCCAGGTCTGACTGTTGGGAAATTGAATTTTTCTATGAGCCACTAATGAATGAATAAGAATACATAAAATGATGTATCTGATAAAATTCCGAATAGTAACACAGGGATCTCTATCTCTAGACATTAGAAGATTGGCAACAGGATATGGAGTGGGAGTCTTTTCATTTCTCAGTATTTAGCAATTTTTACACCTTTAATTTTATTTTTATTTTTTTGGTGTTTGGTTCTTCTGGTTTCTTCAGCTCCGTTGTTGAATATTATATTTCTTTTTATATTCTGTTCGAGGTTGCACCTTTAATTTTTTGTTAGTGTGTTTAGTTCTTCCAGTTTCTTCAGCTCTACTATTTTTTGTTAGACTAGACAATCTAATTCTGAAATTGTCTTATGTGTGTTACTTCCTCCTTGTAGTAAGAGAGGCGAATAAAAAAGTTCAGAAGTCCCTCCTATAGAAAGAAAGGTAATTTTTTTCTCCATTTTTTCTGCTTCTTTTGTATTTTCCAAATATATTCAATGTCTTATGGTTACTTTGGTATTCATGGGAGGTTGTAACGTTCAGGTTATCACTTGCAGGCACTCAATTTTTAAAATGGCTTTTCTGTTTCGATTTCTCTATTTAACAATATTTAACATTTGAGTTTCAGGTCCTTGATGCCACTAGAAATAAGCCCTAGGGCTTTCATGGATCTCCTCTCTAATATTGCTCAGGCATCAAAAAATTAGTAAGTTTAATGAATCTTCCTTGTGCTTTCTGATCATTCTTTTCATCATAAAGTGTTCATTTTTCATTTCAATAGTCACGAGTACCAGATGATTTTGGCGATAAACTGAAAGCGTATCAATGATATTGGAAAAAATTGGCGTCATGTCTACAAGGCTTTTTTCTTCCTTGTTGACAGAGAACCTGTGTGTTTTGTCATTGAAATTCTTGTTTTGTTTTTGCTGGAACTTCTTGGGGACTTTCTTATCAATTCCCCCATAGTCTCTCCAGACCCCCTCTACAAATTGAAGAGAGCAGTATTTTTTTGCTTTTACATATTTCTGTAAAGAAACTTTTTCTAGGGAATATAATTTTTAAATATTTTCTCCGACCCCCATTTTGGGTATTGATGGTGACCTCTATTTTATCTCGTCCTCTTGTATGTATTCGCTATTGTTTCCTGGCATCTACCATTCTCTTGAATATGTAAATGAAAAAAATTTCAGGTTTTGACTGTTTTGGAGTACTTGGTAGCTCATGGATCGAAGCGTGCCATAGATGAGATCAGGGAACATGCTTAACAAGTATCGGTGAGTTTCTTTTTCATATGCACCTTCTTTATAAGCTATTCTAAAAATTTCTAGATGACACATGGAATTTCTTAGGATGATTAAGCTAGCATTTGCAATGTATTTTTCTTTTGATAGGCATTGTTCGATTTTCAACATATTGATTCCAAAGGAAGGGATCAAGGAAGCAATGTTAGAAGGATATCTCAGTCTTGAAGCCCTTCATTTACTGTTCCTTGTTTATGTTCTTCATGAGAAGGTTGCTGCTAACAGGGACAAGTAAGTTTGCTTCAAGTTTCCTGATTACCCTTCTCATGGCATAGTTATACCTTGAAGTATCATTTTGTAACGATTACTTTCCATTTTATTGATCCTTATATTAATCGCTTGAGGTTAAACATGACTTTCTTTTGTCTCTGTATTTCAATCTAAAATCTGAAAAGTTTCACTTCATATTTTCTTTTGGTCGTGACCATGCCTGATCATTACTGTTAGTGCTTGTCTTTCTTGTTTCTTTTTTGAAAATTTTGAAATTTTATGAAAGGCAGAAAGATTGTTTACATTCAATATGCACTTGTGTATATTCTTTTACTCAACTGTAACTTCAACTTATATTTTTTGTTAAATTTGCATGCTCTGGTAAAGGTTGAGTCAAATTAATTTTTTACTTTATATCTTGAGCTAAGTATATAAGGACGTTGTCCTTTTTTTTTTTTCACTGACATATGTAATGGTCTCTTAAAATTTTCAAAGTCCACTATTAGGAGATAAGGGCGTGGGGCTGTTAGGCCTGTTATCGTGATATATAAGTTGATGTTAAACATGATTTCCTTTTGTCTTTTAATTTCAATCCAAAATCTGGAAGGTTTCACTACATATTTTNATAATGTTTGTGTTGCCTCGTACTGCTAATTGAAATTCTTGCAACCTTTTGAGGTTCCGTAATTAATCTTTGCAGTTAATTGATTTGAACTGTTTTAAAAAGTATAAATATGTAGGATTGGATTACTAAATAATCCCTAGCATTATCTTTGACTTTAAAATTTTGTACCTTTCAACGAAGAGGTTGTACAGTGAAGGCAGAACTAATTTTAGCCTTACTTTAATGTTATGTATAAATGATTATCTAGGAGTAGATAGTCAATTTACTAAAGTTTTTACTCAAATATTTTCCGGACTTCGACTGTTTTGGAGTACTTGGTAGCTCATGGATCAGAGCATGCCATAGATGAGATCAGGGAACATGCTTACCAAGTATCAGTGAGTTTCTTTTTCATATGTACCTTGTTTACAAGCTATTCTACAAATTTCTAGATAACCTTGGAATTTCTTTGGATGATTAAGCTAAGCACTTCCAATGTATTTTTCTTTTTCATAGTTGTTCGATTTTCAATATGTTGATTCCAGTGCAAGGGATCAAGGAGGTATGTTAGAAGGACATCTCAAAGTCTTGTGGCCCTTGTAAATGACAAGGAACAAATACACGAAGTTTCGTGAGAAGGCTCCTGCTAACAGGGACAAGCATGTTTCAAGTTTCTTCATTACCCTTGTCATGGCATAGTTATACCTTAGAAGTATCATTTTATGATGATTACTTTCCATTTTGTTGATCATTATATTAATCAGTTGATGTTAAACATGATTTCCTTTTGTCTTTTAATTTCAATCCAAAATCTGGAAGGTTTCACTACATATTTTCTTTTGGCTGTGACCATGCCAGATCATTACTAATAGTGCATGTCTTTCTTGTTTCTTTTTTGAAAAATCTGAGATTTTTTGAAAAGCAGAAGGAAGATTAAGATTCAATATGCACTTGTGNCTATATGCACTTGTGGACTTTCTGTTACTCAACTACTTCAACCTATATTTTTTTTGTCAAATTCTTATTCTTTGGTAGAGGTGTGGCATAATTGAATTTCTTTTCCTTTGTATATTGAGCTAAAGACTATAACAATGTCGTCCCTTGCTTTTTTATTTTTCAGACATGATTAAAATTTTCAAAGTGCACTACTAGGAGATGGGGGCATGGGGCTGTTAATCTTGTTAGAACACGCAGAGTAATTTTTCAAACCATAGGTTTCTATTTAAATATAAATAGCCTCTGAAATAGCATTGCTTGTGAAGCCTCGTGCAAATGAGGGTAAGGCAATGGATCCTCATAGATACATCAAAATCAAATATATTGCAATCAGTTCCCATAGCCAAAGTTAATGAGTTTTCTCCAATGTTTTATTTCTTTATCGGTGCAACTTTCTGGTTTTATTACGAGAAGACTTCTACCAAGTCAAATGGCAAGTTCTACATATTGGTTAATATAAGAGTTACACTGGTTGTGAATATTAACTATTTTTTTAAGGTGCAAGGAATTTAAAAGGGTATTTAATTGTTCACATTACCCTAAATCCTACTTCCGAAGCCGACGAATTTCTAATCCTTCTTTGTGATATTATGATTCCTATGTGTTTTGGCATTAGTCCAACACATGGACGTATTTTCTCTTGTTTGTTGCATATTAAGGAATACTAAAATGGTGGTGAAATACCATGAATCTCATTACCCTTTCCTTAGCTGCTATTTTGCTCTTTATGTAAACTTCCTCAATATATGGTAGTGAAATGCCATGAGTCTACTAGGGAACTCAACGGGTTTATTGTACCATTTAGTAGAATCTTGAATCTTGTTTATGGCAGTAAGAATAAACCTTTGGTAATATTTCAAAATGTCATGTTACAACTAATTTTTTTAATTGACTTTAATGTGTTTTCTCGACACACTGAAATTTGACTTTATGCTTGTGTAGAGCATTTTATACTTATAAGTTTGGATGAAGGTTAAATTGAAGATCACACAGGTTAAATTCTTAAATTGTGCTGTGTTTTACTATAGAAAGTTATTTATGAAGGTTTTACATAAGAATACAAATAGTTGTTTGGAGTTCCTCAATTATGAGGAAAGTCAAGTTGGTTATAGATTACCACCACACACAAAGTAGACAATGGAGAATAGCTTACATTTTTTAGTTCAATTGTTGTCCCTCCACCCCGTGCCGACCAATTTTTTACATGCTACTGATAAGAATTCTATCTACACATCAAGACTGAAGAAGGGAGCTTAGTTTAGATTGGAATTCGATACATGAAAAGTATACAAGTCAAACTTATAACAAATGCATAATATTATGGATTCTTTGTTGTAAGCAATTTTGTTTGTTACTATTTTCATATGGTAGCCTTGCCCTAAAAACCATTTTTTTGTCATATATATGTGTATATGTAGAAAGAGATTTGGGTGGAAGAAATATTCTCTGTTTACTGCTTACAACTAACCAGTTGTATCTTATTACTTTCATTCACTACGCCAAAAATGAGCTTTTGCAACACAGCTTTTGCAACATTCGATAGTTAAGTGCTGCTAAATGGGTCTATCGCAACATTTTGATAAGTGAATGTTGCAATTAATTAGTATAATTGAGCTTTAGCATCATTTTGTACATAAACGTTGCAAAAAAGTGCCTTTTGCAACGTTTATTGGACGTTGCAAAAGGGTCTACTTTTTGCAACGTTTATTAAACGCTGCAAAAGGTTAACTTTTTGCAGCGTTTGTTAAACGTTGCAAAAAGTCTTTTCGCAACGTTTATTAGACGTTGTAAAAAGTTGACTTTTTGCAGCGTTTAATAAATGTTGCGAAAGACCTAACTTTTGCAACGTTTAAAAAACGTTGCGAAAGATGCTTTTCTCAATTTTCTTTATATTTTTATGATGATTTCGCAACTTCTTTTTTTTTAAAACGTTGCAAAAACTCCCCCATCCCCCTTAAATCCAAAAACTCCCCCATTCCCTTGAATCCCTAGGTCAGAAATCACGCCCTCCGCCTCTCTCTTCTTCCTCGACTCTACCTTCCTGGGACGAAAATGGCGTCTTCATCCGACCAAAATCCCCTCTTACCGGGTATGAAGCTCCTCACCTCCGCTCTCATAGCCACCATCATGACCAAGCTCGACATCCCCTCCAGTCACTCGCATCCACGTGCAAGACCTTCTGCTCCTGCGCCGCCCACATCCCGTGTTTCGCCCCCACCTTCCACCTTTTTGTAAGATATAATCATGTACTTGGTATGAGTTTTTTTTTCTTTATGGGATCAAAAGCCAAATATACTATGGAAAAACAATTTTTTTATTACAAACGGCTTAGGTTATTACCACTAAAACTCGAACCAACTAACTCTCTTCGCCAATCGCTCGACCCGAAGCATCAACATTCTCTGTGCTGCGTCTATGGCCTGGATACGGAGGCGGTTGAGGCGACGGGGGAGGTTGGCGGGATGGGAAAATGAGGGTGAGATGAAGGCTAATTTGTGAGTATGGTGGCAGAGGCGGCGGGGTTTAGTATGAGACTGGATTGGACTGAAGGGAATGGAATCATATTTTCTAACAATGCCTTACTTCTTGAATCTACGTAGAAAACTGGAAAGGTAGAATGGAGAAGTGTGTGTTTGTGGTTATTTGCTTGATTATTGGACTTGTGAACCTAAGTAATGGCCACAAGTTCCTAAGTTGAGGTTCAGTGACAAATCGGCCTGGCCTTCCCTAAGAAGAGAGTGATTGGGGTGAGGGAAGAATGTCGGGTTAGAGAACATGATTTTTAAAATGTTTATATTCTTGATTGTCTGACCATACATTGTTTAGTGAAGCTAGAACTCTCTCTCTTTTTATTGAATTGATATAATTTGCGGGAACATTTCTGCTTTTCCTCTAATAAGCCATAGCTAATAGTGTTGTTACACATTTTAATGAAACTAACATGAAGCTTCATGGCAATCCTGAAAGTAGTTCAAAATGGGGCCAATTGGTTTAAATATCTTATGTTCATAAATGCTGGTTTACATTTTGAGTTTATGCAAAGATATGAATTTGAATTGTTTTCCCTGCTCTAGCAACACTTAATTCTCTTGCCGATACATCTTTTCTGTTTTAGAAGAGCTTTATTACTTGTTTTCATTGTATTAATTCATTTTCCCATTCTTCTTTGTTTTCTTTAACTTTTTTTCAGAGTGCTGTTCCGCAAAAGGGGAGCGAAGTAAATTTAACCCTTGGTGGTATTGATCTCAACAGTTCTGGAAGGTTGGTTTCAATTTGTATACTTCTCACAGATTTTAGTGTTTTCATTTGTGCATCGATTTGGCTGCCTGGCCACATTCCTGCCACAGTAAATTTTCTGAATGTAAGGCTTGTCTTGTTGACTTTTTAATCCATTTCAGCATTTTGGGAGTTTATTAATTACTATTTTGAGAGTTGCTAAATCACTCATTGGTAGATCTTTTTACTGTCTGGAAATTTTTTACTTCATTATCTATGTAGTGTGTTTTGTTCCAATTATTCAAATAGCTTATATATAATATAGGACTCTATAGTTTATCAAACAGACGACCATGCTCAGAAATATTTTCTCAAGGTCCAGAAGAATGGAACAAATGAACGTGCACCTCCGCCCCGTCCAAAGAGAAAATCAGCCCATCCTTATCCACAAAAGGCTCCCAAAAAAGGTTAGAACTGTAGCCATTCTTCTGTATTTCCTCCATTAATTTTTGCCTGCCATCTCTCAAATTAGTCGTACTTATCTTGGATAGCTGCCTGTCGCAGTTGTGTCTCAAGCCACTGGAGCATTGCAGTCTTCAGCTAGATGAAACAATTGTATTGTTTATCTAACTCATTTTTAGATAGTTTGTGTCGTATCACATTCGAATTTTGTATTGATTAAAAAATTTATAATGAAATTATCAATTTTTATACAATTCCAAAATGTGTTCACAAAGTGTTATTATTAATTTTATGGGTATTTTACTCAATTACCATAACTGTAATAAAAAATTAAAAAAAATCCTTTTTGCAGCATTTTTTAAACGCTGCAAAAGACTCTTTTCGCAACGTTTGCAGCGTTTTTTAAACGCTGCAAAAGACTCTTTTTGCAACGTTTAAAAAACGCTGCAAAAGACCCTTTTTGCAACGTTTAAAAAATGCTACAAATGACTTTTTCGCAGCGATGAACAAACGCTGCAAAAAGTCACCCCTCAATAGCAACACCGGCCTTCACAATATAGGTTAAAACGCTGCAAAAAGTCTTTTGCAACGTTTTTTGGCCGCTGCAAAAGCCTTTTTTTTTTTTGGCGTAGTGATTGTAGAGTAGTTGAAAACATGCTCTCCACTGGGTGTCACCACTTTTTACTGATATAGTTGGGGATTGTAGAGAGGTATTGGTCTTGAACAGTTTGTTTTATGGCACATAAAACGTTTCTTGACACGTGTTCTTGTATGGAATGGGTCAAGTATTAGTGTTTATTTAATAACTTCATGCATTTTTATTGCTTGATCTCTTTGTGTTTGGATCCAAAATCCTGTAAGTAGCCTTCCAACTTGGCATCAAAGGCCTTCAATCTTATTATAAGCAAAGCAAAGCAATGCTTACTCTTTTCTCTATTTTATTCATCATTATAATGAAGCTCTAAGGTGCATCATATTATAATTACTATTATCTAACAAGAAAATAAGCTTAGTTCACATACACTGAAGAATGGAGGCATTCGTGGCAGCTTTGCAATTTTTCCTTTTTATGATATTTTGACGGTACGGAGAGCTAGCATATTTTTGAGAAGAAGGTTATCATATAACACACTCCATTCTATTAATTTATTTTAGCCTAACGTAACATTTCAGTATAAATCGACAAAAGAATCATCAGACAATATATCATATCTAAATTTACTTTGTTAAATAAAGTTCATTTTGCTAACTTCATTAAATGTATAGACAACGCTAACATAACCTTTGGAACTAATTTTCTGTAGCTAAAATTGATAACCGAATTATAGTAGGATTCTTTATTTTAAGACTAAGATCAGACTAGACCACTTTCTTAAATCCAAACTAGAACAACTATTCGGTTTGATTCTTGTACGATTAGTATAATTCAAAATAAAATTCCCCACCCCTTATTCTTGAAAAGTACCACATGATTATATCTACACATGTCCACCCTTTCGTTTTTCTAGCACTTTGTTAATATCTTCGATTCTCAATTTTTTAGCTTGTCTTTGTCCTTTTCCAAAGTTCAAATGGTTTGTATCAAATGGATGAAAAATGTTTCAAATGTATTCTTCGTGGTAAATTTACATCAGATTTTATTGACTCCATATTCATCGAAAAAAATTTGCTATATATTTTCCTATTTTAGCTTGAACGTTTCTTTCTCCTTGACAGATCACTTGAAGACCATGTCCAGATTTTTGGCAGCAGATGTTTTTTAAGCCCTTAGCTATGTTTGGTAGAGTAGAATGGACAAAAAAAAAAAAAGGGGTTCAAAATCTTATCCATTGAGTCGTGTGCTCCAATCCATTAGCGTGTACCAAACATGCCTTCAAATTTATGGCGGAAAACTAAGGAAAAGGCCAATTACCGTGCAACAAATACACCCAGATTGTGGAGCATCACTAGAAGGCAGCTACTCATCATCCTCATCCTACCAATATGTTTCAAGTATCTTTTCGGCCTGTTCGCGTATTTTACTATTGTCATGAGTCTGGACGTTCTTAATCTTCTCTAGGCCCCTAGCATCAACAATCATCTGAGCAAAGACATTCACATCTTCGGTGTTACCTTGGTTCTTCTCAGCTTCTCCAACCTTCAGAATGTTCTCAAGGCCTTCCAAGTAGATTTTTATGACATGCGCTTCGTTGGGCTTAACTAGAAGATCGCACATTGGCTCTATACAACCCTCGTGCACCAGGAACCTGCCACAAAGTCGAAGCATTAATACTCAAACTAAATGTACAATAACCTACGATAATATGACAATAGCTATGAAGAATTTACCTGATTTGCTCATTAGTTCCCTTAGTCGTGACATTATAGATAACCTCAGCAGCAGCATTAAAAAGATCAGCATCTTGAAGCAGTGGGAGAAGAGGTGAAATAATACCAGCCTCAATCACCGCCTGTGTATTTGTTGGATAAATTGGTGCATTATATTCCAATCACTATAATACATGCATGATTTTATTTGCTATTGACATGCAAATTATCGAATAATATTTTGAATTACTGAAATCAAGATAGGTGCATGAAAAGTAATTAAAATGACAATTTACTAACATTTAGGAAAATATAAAATTTAGAAGAAGATAAAATAAATCGACGTATGTGAATGCAGATCTCCTTAAGACGGATTTCGCCCTGTACGCCGGTACTAATAGGATCAAATGGAGGTCTATCTCCCAAAATACAGTGTTTCTTTCAAAATTAATATAGCATAATATTAATTTTATCGGACGAACCAATACTTGATTGTACTCTTCTAAAAAGGAAGATATTGAATACTAAATATCGAACAGAAAACTCAAAAAGTAATTAGAAAATTATTTTGATAGAATTTGGAGAAGGAAAGAATTAGAAATTAATTATTTGGAATAGATTCGGATTGAAGAAAATGAATTAAGAGGATCCAATTTATAGATTTCATGTATTTCTTCGAATGGTCGCATCTTTTGGCACAAATTATTTTAACCATTAAATCTCACCATTTCAAGATTGGTGTTCTAGGTCATACCTTTAACAAAGGTCATTACTCCTTGTTACGCATATTTGGCACTTGAAGAGTCGCACCCAATCGATGCACCCATTGGAGATTTTTTTTTTTTCAATTCACGCATTTTAGTCTTTTTATATACCCTTAAAGTTTAACAATCCCCCACATGAATGGAAGAAGTCGACTTAGAACAAGAAAGACGAAGAAGAGTACAACTGAAATATAATGCACTAGGATCGGTAACTTTTGCTTTGAATCCTCCTTAATAAAAATCTATCGAACTCACTTGGCTAATAAGTAAATGCAACGTTTTAACCATTTTTGTAAGTCTAAACAATAAATCGAACGCATTATATCTCATATCAAACTTTGATTCTCTATTGCATTCATTATTTTGGCCCTGAATCTTCTTGGTTCTGCAAGTGCGTTAGAGAATTTGCACAAGTAAAATTCTCATAGAACTGGCCAACTTCACACTCACATAGGTGATGTTCTATAAAGAGTACACTACAATATTCCATTTAACTGTTTACAAGATACAGTCATCATTAAAAGCATGAATTATCCTAACCAATATTTGGTAGACAACACTTATTTGCATCATAGAAATTGGAAGGAGTTAAAACTTCGAAGTGCTTTTCATCGAGACAAAAAATGTGCAAAACACACAATACTAAGGAGAAATGCTATCCCACAACTTTAGGGTGCATATGAAATTAATCATATAGTGTGCACAACTCCTTTAAAATTATGCCACATAAGCCAAATCACCAACATTCACTTCCTCTAAACCCATCCGCCTAGTGACGTTTCACCAGTGAGTTCCTAATGGTTACTGCCATTTGATTTATCTTTGTGGTTGATAAATGAAATTAAAGAAATTTTACTTCTTAAAAGGAGACATGATGGTTAGCCACCAAATTTCAAAGAGGGAAGTTCGAATACATATAACAGGCATTGCTTTATTCCCCCAACAACCCCTTGCCACTACTCAAAATCTGTAATTAGAGAAGTGTAAATAAATTTCACTACTAATGCATGCATCTCTTTAACTAGAACGAGTAGAAAATTAGAATCCAGATGCTTCGTTATCTTTTTAGTTTACCAAGAAATCGAAGAAAAATTAAAGAGAAAGTTCTTTCACATACTTTTCAATATACATAACATATCTACAATATTTCCAGAATTAAGAATATGTTCTCGTCATGCAATACAACGTTTAAGTAAACTAGTATTGTGTGTGAACAATGCATAATAAAGTAATTGAGTAATACGAAAGAATAATGCACGAATAACAAAGTCAAAAAGCAAACACAAACTAAAACTTTTCATCCACGTGAACTGATTTTGACCATCACTATATAAATTAGCATGAAAATCCGTCTTAAGATTGTTCGATAAATTGGTGCATAATTATATTCACGTGCATGATTTAAGTTGCTATTGACATCCAAATTATCGAATAATATTTTGACTTACCAAAATCAAAATATTTACATGAAAAATAAGTAAAACTTGACATTTAGGAAAATACAAAAATTAGAAGGAAATGAAATAAAGCAAGACATGCGAATACAAATCTCGTTAAGACAGATTTCGCCCTCTACACTGGTGCTAATAGGATCAAATTGACATTTGTCTCATAAGATACAATGCTTCTTTTAGAATTAATATAGTAAAATATTAATTTATCGGACTAACCAACACTTGACTATACTCTTCTAGAACGGAAGATATAGAATACTAAATATTGAACACGAAACACAAAAATTAATTAGAACATTATTTTTACATAATTTGGATAAGAAAGAATTAGAAATCAATTATTTGGAATTGATTTGAATTGAAGAAAATGGAATTAGGTGACCCTTTCACTTCAAAAGTCGCACCCAATCGATGCACTTATTGAACGCTTTTTCCAACTCCCACGTTTTAATCTTTTTATATACCCTTAAATTCCAATAGTATTGAGATGGCACCTCTTTGGCATCCTTAATTTTATAAGATAAACGGATTTAATGGAAGACTTCAAATTACAAACAAAAAACAAAACAAATGTCAAATTCATACGAGAAAAAATTTTGAAGGACGGCAAGTGAAAAATCATCAGTCTCATTGTTCAAAACAATAATTGATACTTATTTATCTCAAAGCATTAATTATGAATGCATAGAGTAATGACACAAAGGCAAAAACAATTCCATAGTTATTTGCATACCTGAATATGATCCTTAGTCTGTCCAATGATATTTGAAATGATATGACAAGTGGCCTCCTTGACACTGTCATCGTAATCACTATTTAGCGTCAACACTTCACACAGGCAAGGAAGAGACCCATTATCAATGATAACCTGGTAATCATTCAACAGAAGCAAGTTAGTAAAAAAGGTAAACACTGCTTGACGTCCTTAATTACAGGGTTGGCATTGAACTTCTTATTAGAGCTCTTAAAAATTGGTCAAAGATTATAAGGGGTTAATTTCTCAGGATGACACTTGAAGCCACCCCCTTGGCATTTGCAAATTCAATTAATGAGTTTCAAATAATAACTTTTAAATTTTGTGCAGTTTTTGGATTCCTAGAGATGGTATGCGCTTCAAACGTATTATAAGCATTGTACCAAACCTGAACATATATGGATCATGAATATGACAAAAACAATGAGGACTGAAGACATTTGATGGACTTCCATTGGAAAGGTGAACATATCACATAGCCAATTAATGTGCTCAAAAGGAAGTTTACTAATTAAGGTTGAGGTCCTTGAGGACAAGAGTCAGATGATACCTGAATCTGGGTATCGTCTACATATGAAATAATATTATCAACGATGCGCACATACAAAATATATGATTTACGATATCTGCGAACCACTGAACTGAGGGATTTTTTCACTGACAGTAAAAGCTCAAACAAACGAGGGAAAGCACCAGCATCAATCACAGCTTGTTTCATATCCATTTCCCCACAAGTTAGATGGAATAGTGCCTCACATGCATGCTTAAGGACTATTTGATCGTCTGTATGGATCACATGAGCAAGAGGTAGGATGGCAGATTTAACCTGCTCAGTAATATCCAGAAGGAATTGGTTAAATATTATTGATATGCATCAAAACCGAACAGAAAACCAATTAGAAGACAAACCTGCTCGAACTGAGGCTTTCTCAGACAAAGCTTTGACAATGTCTCCGTTGCCTGTCCCATGATGGTTAGATTTGTTTTATCATTAAATTGTTCCAATAAGGGCATTAACACTCCATGACTAAGGACAAAGTCACGATATTTTGCTGACACACTGGCAATCGTTCCCAACACCACAAGTGCCTAAATTAAAAAGTAGGATATATAGTCAAAAGCAGCCACGAAATAAAATTTGAAGTTCGTAATAGTCTTTTTCAATTTGTAAAAAGTTGGACGAACATATCCCTAACATAGGGATGCAGTTATGTTATTTACTGTTAAAATGTATTGCCCCTACTCGACTAAAGAAAATGTAAAAGCAGCCATGGAACAATGTCATTTTTGGCACTACTTAAAAGACAATTTTTCATCCTGGATCTGCAACTTGACACATGGGTGTTGGCCGCCACTGTTTCAACTCTAGTTGGGAAGGTTAGGTTTTAATCAATTTATATAAATTTGCATTCCTCTGCTTCTCTCCACTTCAGATTCAGAGAGCTTTTTCTTTTTGTTTCAGGTATTTTTCTTGAGCTAACATGTAATAGCTTCAACTCGGAGAGAGATTGAGAGATTAGGACTGGAGTTTTCCATTGGGCACATCTCTTCTCAGTGTCATCAACTTGTAAACTGTAGCGATAGTACTCGTAGTGCAGATTGAGTTCATCTTCCAGCTATGTGGAAGTTACGTCAACACATTGAATAGTGCTATGTGTTGAATAGTGTTCATCATTGGTCTACACGACCCATTTAATTGAACCTATATTTTAATGTTACCTATAGATTCATTGATGATCAGAATGGTGATACGTAGCATTACTCGAGCATATTGGTCTTTATTCTTTCTGGGTGCGGGTGTCTGCTTTGTATGATTCTTGATTTGATTGTAATCCTTCAACATTTACAACTTGATAATGTGTTTATACGTGCTTATCTGTGATATTTAAACTTGATAAATAATTTATAGTTGAGTGAATTCCTACATAATTTAGTGTAGATATGATAATTGTAGGTAAAAACCAATTAGAAAGCATTCATGCAAAAAAAGGAAGGGTTTTAGCTAGTGTTCTAAATAGCGCGCCAAGACGCGAGCTGGCGCGATGCGCGGCCTTGGCGCCAAGCCACTTGGTATGGCATTGACCGCCAGCTAATGCGCAGCACGCTTTTTTTATTTATTTTTTTACATTTCTTTGAAGTTAAAATTTATTAAAGGCTAATTTTTTCAATTTGCCCCCTCCAATAAAGAGTTAAATAATATTTAAGTTCTTATGCTATTTATTTACTATTAACATAAATTTAAATTTTGAATAGAAAAAACAACCTTTGAAACTTTTTTTGTATAAAGTTCCTATAAATCTGTTTTAAAAGTTTAGTAAGTATTATTTTTAATTATTAAATGACTTTTTGATTGATTAAAAATTAAAATAGGAAAACACTTTTTTACGCTTTTTTACACATAAGCCTCGCCTAATCTCACCTAGCCCTTAGCTTGGACTCCACTCATCGCCACACATTACGCCTTTTAGAACACTAGTTTTAACTAATTTATAGTTGATTTGGAGCAAATGAAGATTAACCGGACTGCACGAGGATCAAAATGAGTATTAAGAGATAAATAGGAGGAATGTCGCCGGTTTCTGAAGTGAAATTCAACTTATATGAAGTTTGGAGCTAATTTGCACAATTTTGGAACTTAAGAAAGACTACTTACGGAAGATTGTTGAAGATTGGGAAACGATCCGGAAGATTTTGAAAATTGTGAGATCAAATATTGAAGAATTAGAGTGAAAAGGATCAAAATCAGACAAAAATGTTGAAATAGAGACCAAAGTGCAACATACGAAAGTTAACGAACTAACTTGGACATGTTAAATAGTGAAAGGACCAAAACTAATGAGATAAAAAGTTGGAGGATCAAAATAAATAAAGCTAAAGTTCAAAAACTTGGTTTACAATTTAATGTTGAAAGTGAAAAATAATAATAAAAGTTCAAAAAATGGTCTTTTAGATGCACAATTCTAAAGCATTCTTACCAATATATAAGGTCCTCATTTTTTTTTTCAAAACGAAGGGGAAACAATGTTCCAAAAGTCAAAAATTAGAGAAAAAAGAGAAAAATTAAAGGGAAAAAATAGGTTTTTCAAAATTTGGCATGGAAGAAGACGATTCTTGGTGAAAGGTCTTCAAAATTTTCTAATTTTTTTTCTTTTAACTTGGTCACGTGCTCTATTCCTTTCTTTTAAGTCTCTTCTTCCATGATGTGTAACTAAAAAAAATACTTACAATAAACATTGTAAACTAATTTGAATCTTAAGTTCAGTTATCATGTGTTGATTTTTAATTGATATTTGTGTATTTTTCTTATTACATTTTTATGACTTTGATTTACGTTAATCATCGATTCAATGATTTGTGAAAAGCAAAGAATCAAAAGATGGGTTATTTTTTTAGATCATGTAGTAAAATTCAAAATTTAGATAGGAGAGATACACTTCAACTAACTGTACATTAATTAAATTTTTTGGTGATTGAATGCTTTTGATTAAAGTATATCGGGAATCGCGTAGAGACATATAAGTTTACTTAATTCAGTTAGTTAATTTGAACTCAAAATGAGTAAATCAATTAATTTAGAAGAATTTGATCAAGCAAGCATAATTAACTATTGTCGGAATTTGGTAATTGGTATTAAAGAGATAATAATGGTGAACTCGTGAATCCCTCACGCATCGAGTATAACTGTAAATAGCCTATTTGTGACATTTTTCATTATTGTAATCAATTGGTCCTTGTGAGAAGATTCTTAAATCCAGTATACTACTTATCTGATTGACATCTTACACTTGCGATAAAATCACAACACAACACCTACCTCTCCGTGATGTTCATCCGTGGGAGAACTAAGAAGGCTCACCACAGTGGGAACTGCACCCTGTTCAATTAGGATGTTGATATGGATGTTGTCAGATGATTCAAGTGAAATATATGCTATAGCCCTCGTTGCCGCAAGCTAAGAAAGTGAATAACTCAATTCATTTAGCAGTTGAAACACATGAAATAAACAGGAAAAGCAATTGAGAGCACAAATTTAAACCTGAAGCTTCGGGTAATCATCTCTATCAAGAAACTCGAGGAGTCGAGGAACAATTCCAGATATGAATCCCTCCGATGGTGGATTTATGCCTCCGAAACCTAATTAATTGAAAGCAAATGCAATCGGAGATAGAAGAGATCAAATAGCTTAAACAGTAATAAGATTTATATCAAATTAATTGGCTTCAAGAGAAGTAAATTAATCGATTACCAATAAAAAATCTGCTTAGCTGAGAACAGGCTCCAATTTGCAGTTCGTCGTCATTTGACTCAAGGTTGGCTATTGCTTCAGCCTTTAATTCCTCGATCTGTTGCAACTGGAAGAAATTAATAATGAAGTTTACACAACAGTTTCTATTATTCTATATACTAGTTCTACTCATTTAAATTTGTCCCACATAATTACTTGCTTGCAAAAACTATTTCATTATGCCAAAAAAAAAAAAAATACCACACACACAAAACACATTTTTGTTTCGAATTTGGTTTCCAAGAGAGGATTTGTGTCTTGTTTTTATACTTCTGTAACTAATAAAATGTGGTGAATTGCTAAAATTTCATTATAAAGATCTGTAATATTCTTGAGATAGAGAAATGATCAGATACGAGCAACAGTAAGTATGGCTCAAGGAATCGCTTTTACCTGTTGACGGTTGGACAGCCTCTTGACACTAACTTGAAGGTTGTTATTTCCGAAATCCACTTGTTCTTCTTGTATTTGATTTGCCGAAAACACAGCTGAAGGGCTAGCATCATCCAAGTCAATGATTTGAAGAGTTAGTATATCTCCAAAGCTACAAGGGATCTCCTTTAGATTGTAACATTGCCTAAGCATTAGGCACTCGAGGCTTGTGAAGTTAGTGTTATTGGCTCTCCATTGCACTAGAAAACTAGTTCTAAGTAGCAGAAATTTTTGTTTGGGAAATTCTCCTTCGGTTGGCTCCCATTCTGGCTCCCTTTCTGGCCTGCAAATTACATGATCTAGCAGTTTGAACACTTCAAGGTTGGGCATGGAACCAACAATAGTCATGTGTTTCCAAGCAATTTTGCAATCCTCTAAAGTTAACTTTTTGATATTTGGTGGGAAAGTGAAATTTATCGGGACTCTAAAACTACATTTGATTTTCAAGGTCTCAAGTTGAGGAAGATTTACCAGAATACCTAGAGAGATCTTATCGTCATAGTCACTAAAAATCCCTAACTTTTTTAGATTTGGAACTCTATCGAAGACCTTGTTAAAGCTGGAACTACTCACTTTCGACAATGTTAAAAGGCTTTGTAGAGCTAAATTCTCCCCATCTATTTGTGATCTAGTAGGGCATGGCAAAAAACACATCCCGAACAGGAGATGCCTTAATTGTGGCATCCTCCATATTTCCTCTGGTAGATGTACGTCGTCACTATCTACAATTAAGGTCTGTAGATACCCAAGAAAATCAGGCAATGTTTTAGGCATGGAAACTTTCCCATTACAGGGGGGGAAAGCAAGGTACCTTGAGTGAACTAATTTTATTTCTCCAAATGGGAAACCACCTACATGTTTAAGATCCAACACCCTGAGCAGTGGAAAACGTTTTCCGTCAACTAATTCATTAATCTGGCTTTCGTCTAGGCCTTTTGGGAATATAAAGCCGCCTTCAGAATATGAAATACTTGGAAACCCAGAAATTAAAATAGAACGGACTGCTGGCAAGGATCCCATGGACTGGTAACATTTGAATTCCTCGTGAAGAATATCTGGATGAATACACAGGCGATGTGAATACTTGCTTTCAGCAAAAATATTACCTTTATCTCTGACATGGGAAAACTTCTCCTCCTGGGCTTTCTTTAAGCATAGGTCCCTTAACATATCATGGATGCCACAGGTTTTTATCTTTCCTCTAGAACTCTTCTTACTAATCATAATAAGATTTCTGGAAATTAGATCTCCCAAATATTCCTCCGCCACTTCTTCCAACATTTTACCTCTGACTGGTTTTAGAAATCCCTCTGCAACCCATAACCTGATGAGTTTGGAGACACGGATTTTATCATCTTCTGGAAAAACTCCCATATAGAGGAAGCATGGTTTGAGGTAATGAGGCAAATGATTGTAACTTAGAGATAGTATTCCCGAGCAGTTTGCGTCTTCTGCATTTACAACTGCNTCTTGACATTTTTTGCTACATACTCTCAGTTATCTTTTGTCCTGTTGGCGTTGGAAAGGTGACCACCAATCACGACAAGGGAAAGTGGATGTCCTTTGCAATTCTCTGCAATCTTCTTTCCAGCTTCCTCCAGTTCGGAAGGGCAAGAGTCTTCCCCAAACACGTTCCGACAAAGTAGATTCCAACTGTCAGTCTTATTTAGAAATTGCATACGATGGAGATAGCTATGGGAGCTTTCGTGGACAAGCGAGCTTGTTAGACGTGTTGTCAACATGATTCGGCTTCCATTCCTGTCGTCTGGAAATATCATTCTCAAAGAATCCCAAGCTTCAGTAGTCCAAACGTCACCCATCACAACAAGATACCTCCGACCTTTTAAACTTTTATACAGATACTCTTTTAATTCTTTTTCAGTACTGTCCCCTTGACACTGTTCAGCTCTGAGATGTTCCAGAAGGCTCATCATGACTTCTCGCTCACGAGATTCTTGAGAAATTGATACCCAGGCACGAGTGTGGAAATGTTCTTCAATAAGTGGATTATTATAAACATTTCTAGCAAGTGTGGTCTTGCCAATGCCTCTTGATGCTGCCAAAAATCGTACATGTCGACTTCCCGAGGTTGATGACCCAGAAAGAGCACGAACGAAATCTCCTGGTACCTGAAACAAAGGCGTCGAGGGTTGGCCTCGTCGCCCCTCTGATGCTTAAGTCAGAGAGAGAATAAAGAGAGTATATATATATGCTGGAAAATATGTGTAAAAACATACCTTAATGGTTAGTGATAGTGATGTATTTATAGGGGGTGGTAGTGGAGTTTTGGTAGGACTACTCACCTTGTTTTTAGGTATTGTTTGTTGGGATATGAATAGATGTCTTGTTCTTATCCTTTGAGTGGCATTAGTAGGAGTAGACTCCTTGTTGACCCGGAACTCTTGAAAAGTGGTGATTGGATAAAGTTAGGAGACCTTCCGGATGAAGGCTGGTGGAACACGTCTCGACGAGTCGTTTGATGTTGGCATAGTGACTATCCCGAGCTCTGACATCCCGAGGACTTCAGGTGTTTTTTCTGGAGGATTTCGTGAAGTTGTCCTCGAGCATCCTCGAGGTAGCTCGAGGACTACGGATGCCCGATGACTCATACGCCGTAATCGCGAGGGAACACAAAAGGATGTCCTCGTGCTCGAGATGTCTGGAGTGGCATCATCACTGGCCCCCGTGCATCCACTCCTATAGCTCAAGATTTAGGCGGGGATGCAAGATAAACCTGGAGATACTTAGTCGTCGGGAGTCGTCGTGAGGGTACTCAAGTCTAAGGTCGGGCCCGGTATCACTGACCACCGCACTAAGGGTTTTGAGAGATCGGAGGGGTAATAAATGTGGAGGTGAGAGCGGGCCGTTGGATGTTTGACACGTGGCCAAATCCAACGGCCCAAGTGGTGACCCTTGGACTTCCCATTCTACCCCTATAAATAGTCCATTCGCTTTTCATTTTTCACTTTTCACCTGCTGTAAAAATTCTTCTGCAAGATCGTGCTCGAGCAATCTCCTTAGGAATCCCCCTTGGTCTTCTAGTCTTTAAGGTAAGACCTCGAGGCTTTAAGTTATTTTAGATCTTTTGCTGTGAGATGTCGGGTAGTGAGGGAGGTCGTGAGTCTATGAGTTCGGGTAGTAGTGAGGACTTAGGAACGTCCCTCATCCCCATGGCTGTCCCCCTAGATGCTCGACCTAGGCACCAGGGCGACGTCGAGTTTAAATATCCCAACGAGCCCTGCAGGTTCAAAGAACACCTAGCTGTGGCGGCTGCCCGGGAATATGGGTTGATGCCGAACAGCGATATTAGGTCGCCTGACCCCGAGGACAGGATGGTAAGGGCTCGGGATGGAGAGTTTGTGATTTTTAGGGATACTTTGAAAGCTGGGTTCAGGTGGCCCATGCACCCATTCTTCTTGGGTCTTCTGGTCGAGCATTCTATGTGCCCGGGGCAACTAGTGCCCAACGGGTGGAGGATGCTCGTTTACTTCTTTATCGCCTGTAGGTATTTGGGGATCGAGCCCTATGTCGACCTCTGTCGCATGGTGTTTGAGCTCAAGCAGCTTCCCCAGTATACTTGTTTTGCTTATCTGTCCACTCGAGATGGGTTTAGGGTCCCGAGCATGCCAAGCTCGTTAAAGGGATGGAAAGATAGGTGGTTCTATGTAGATGTTCGAGGCACGGACCTTCCCTTTTGGTCGGGATGGGGTATCCTCGACGCCCCTAAGTTTTTTGAGGGTCAGGCTTACTTTGAGTCTCTAGAACGGGATAGGAAAATGCTCGAGGAACTCGATCCCCTAGTGCCGGACATGAAGGACATCCTCGGGGATAAGGTGTTAGACCTTGCTGATGTTAGAGGTGTCGAGGGTAGGGCTCGATCCTTTTGTATCCTCGTTCTATATTTGTAATGACATGATCGATCTAATTACTTGTCATTTTATTGCAGGAATGTCTTTTGATCCTTCAGCCCTTCGCAAGTTCGTCAAGGCTAAGGCTAAGGAGCCACAGCCCAAGGTCATCCCCTCGACCAAGGGTAAGAAGAGGGCCAGGACCTCGAGGCCCGAAAACCTTCCCCGAAGGCCGGGGGAAACTTCTCATGCCCGGCCGAATGTGCCGAGCCCTAGGCCTGTCAGGGCGCCCCCATCTTCGCCTAGGGAACTCCCACCGCGGCGAACACTAGAGGTCGTAGACCTCGAGGACGACTGCATCCCCTCGGTGGCCTCGGTCATCGAGGATTTCGAAAGGTGTCACCTGGTCCCGAGCATCGTGGCCAAGTATCGAGGTGACATCGGGTTTGACGAGGGGATGAAGGCCCTCGAGTTCCTGACGTTGAAGGTAAAGTCTCGACCTTATGTTTATTTTTTAAACAAGTATATTGCTCGATGTCTAATGTTGAATGCTCGTGCATGCAGACTCTTAGCATTGCCCGGGGACTCTTCCTACAGGGGATGGATGAGTCTCACAAAATGGCCGGGCTTGTTGAGGTGATCGAGCTCAGGGATCAGAAGCTGGGCAGTCTTAGGGCTGAGCGCGAGGTCCTTGTAAAAGAGCGCGATGATGCCAGGAACGAGCTTCGAGCGGCTCGAGAGGAGGTTGGGGCCGCGAAGGATGAGGCCGAGGAGTTGAAGCTGGAGCTTGAGCGTAAGTGTAAAGAGCACGAGGCTGAGCTGTCTGGGACACGAGCTCGATTATGGGAAGAGTTCAAGAGGTCCGAGGAGTGTGACCAATTGAAAGCTGACTATGCCTCGGGGGCTTACCTCCATGCGTTCAAAGAGGCCCGAGCATTCCTACGCTCCAAATATCCCGACGTTCAAGCTGACGAACTGAAGACAGTGCCCGATATCGCTGATACGCTCGAGCTATCCGAAGCAGAGGATGCTGGGAACGAGGATGAGGATGACGACGTAGAGGTCGACGTCGAGGCCTTCGCGCCTGACGATCTAGAATAATATCCTCTATATTTTTTGAACTTTGTCATACTTTTGTCAGAGCTCGTTACCCGAGCATTTAATTGTAATCTGTCTTTCGTGAAGTAAAAAGATCGTCGTTTTGTTTTTGGTTTGTCTCTCTCGATTATTTACGCTTATGACCGACGATAATATGATCTCGATGATTATACAACTGCCCCTGTATCGACGACTGCACAGCGGACGGTCTCGATGCCGAGGTAATTAAATTCAATAAAATGCGCAAGAGCTCGAGAATAGCTGAGTTCGAGAATCGGTCATGGGCTCAATGATAGCCCGGTAGTATGATCGGACTCGAGGTTAGCTATTTAATAAAACCGAAAAGGAGCTCGAGGACAGCTCAGTTAACAACTAAGTTAGGAGCCCGAAGATAGCTAAATTTACATAATGAAGCCTGAGCTCGAGGATACCATGTTAACAAAAGTGAACCTGAGCTCGAGGTTAGTCCAGTTTAGTAACTAAGTTATGATCTCGAAGATAGATGCTTTAACAAAATGAAACCTGGGCCCGAGGATACCATATTAACGAAATTGAGCCTGAGCTCGAGGTTAGCTCAGTTAGTAACTAAGTTATGATCCCGAAGATAGCTTCTTTAACAAAATGAAACCTGGGCCCGAGGATACCATATTAACGAAATTGAGCTTGAGCTCGAGGTTAGCTCAGTTAGTAACTAAGTTATGATCCCGAAGATAGCTTTTTTAACAAAATGAAGCCTGAGCTCGAGGGTAGCATTTTAACAAAATTGAGCCTGAGCTCAAGGTTAGTTCAGTTTATTAACTAAGTTATGATCTCGAAGATAGCTTCTTTAACAAAATGAAGCCTGAGCTCGAGGTTAGCATAGTTCGCAATGTGTGATTCATTCTCGAGCTCGAGGACTAATTGGTGAGAATCATCAAAACGGTTGTTTCGAGACTGGTCGAGCTCGAGGTGTTTTTCTTTGTGTGTCGTGTTAAGGCTCGAGCGGTGGTCGAGCGTGATAGGGCTTTTGAGGAGATCATGCCCGTTGCATGTTTGGACGGTGCCTGCGCGTGACAGGACTTTTGAGGAGATCATGCCCGTAACATGTCCCGGCGGTGCCTGTGCGTGACAGGACTTTTGAGGAGATCATGCCCGTATCATGTCCCGGCGGTGCCTGTGCGTGACAGGACTTTTGA